TTGTTATACGGGTTATTTTCAATCTTCGTACATATCAATGAATTCACTACGTACCATGATCATGATCAGTGCAAATCTGACGATGAAGACATAGCGCATGGACTTGGCACAAACTCATACACCAAGCGTGGGAGTAGTCCGGGTGCATGGTCGTTTTAGAGCGTTCGGTGGGTGGTTGAGGGGGGGGGCAGAAACTGAAGATCACCCAGGGTCACGTTTCTCAACAGCTCCCTCTTTCTTTCTTTCTCTCTCACTCCATTGGTTGAGGTGAATGAACCTGATTCAGGGCCGAACTGGTTTTCAGTTTCAGTTTTTACGACCATTAGCACCGGTTTTGGCTGCTGTTTTTCAGCTACCCATTTGGATAAAAGAGCAGAATAACGATTGGAATGTTGAGGGGCCATTGTCAAGGAGGAGATGGAGAGTTCATATAGATTGGAGTTGCAAGAATGATGAGTACATGCATGAATGCCACTGTTTGTGACATAGCCATATCACCCAATGTCTCTCACCATTGGTTGCCATGATCTCGGAGTCTCCATCTAGGGAGCCTAACGGGACCTATGTGACCTAGTCTCTTGGTTAGGGTTTTCATACCCTCATGCCAGGTCTTGGTTTGACCGCCCTTGATCTTTTTCCACTCATTACCTGCTGCGGTAAACATTACTCGCCGTGACAACCTATTTGATTACATGTTGGGAATCCAAGTGCCATTACGCAAAAGCCTCCATGAAGCACCAGAATTGAAAGTTAGCTAAGAATCGAAATATACATTGTGCCCGACGTTTGCCACAGCACGGATTAGGCGACTGGAATCGAATACAGAATAGTTNTCTCAACGCGAACTTGTCGGTCTACTTCAATGAGACCAACCCAAAACAATGGGTCACTCGTGTACAATACTGGTTACAAATGAGAACTGGAGTCCACCACCAGGACAAATCAATCACAGATCTATTTAGCCGAGCAGAAACCTGTTGATAATATCCCAATTACAACGAGGTATAACCTGACAGCACTATTCTTAGGACTGGTATTCAGTTGACTATCATTCACATATGGTAAATATGCTACTAACACAGGTAATTCGATGTACAACAATCTTTGGAAGAAAACAGAAGCCTACAACGGTTCTACTAGAAAATCGCTTTGGAACCTCACCATCCGGTAGGCAAAAACAAATCTTTCCCCGGTTCAGAACATGCAATGAAAATAGGATTGGAAACAATTATCTATGATCTGCACGACGATTGGTTCCTTGGGTGATTGACAGTTATCTAAAACCATGCCTCGAGTGGGAAATAAGATCGGTAGCACTGGTGTGGAACAGAATGAGAGTAACAGGGCGGACAGTGATGAAGCAACGCTTGAGCTATCAATGACAGATGAGGGGGTGAGAGCCGGGAGATCAATGGGAAATACGTAAACGAACAAAAACATGAGTGAATAACATTTGTACGACGTTTAAGAGGGGATGGGCGGTGGTATACCAATATGTCGTTTACCTTTTCCAACTGTAAATACAGTTTTGGAGGAGGGTAAATGTTGTGATACCCGTTGGTTTGGGTGTAGTTGGATTCTCATTACCTTAACCGGGCGGCATAGCACAAAACCTAAAACCGTGCTTGTATGATGTGCTTGGTTAGTTCGTTTGTCATCAAACTGTACAAAACTGACCTGTAGGTCAAACGAATATCCAAACTTCCGTTGACTCGTTCTGTGTGCAAGTCTCTCAACGGGATGGTGCATCGTAACTGGGATTCCGCATCGATCGATTGTTGTCGAACGAGCTGATTCAACAGATCCGCACTAATCCAACCACGAGCGACCAGACAATCACGCAAGTTGGGAGAATAGATACGCAACCAAAGTTCCAGTGGTATACCCCGAGGCCAATTCATTTGGGCTAAACAATAAAGCAGATCGGGGATGGGGAGGGGAAATAAATTTATACGGCAATAGAAATTAAATTGATGAGTGTTAATACAAATCCAACTATAGTGAATGATGATGATTGTTGAAAGGAAAAGCCTAAGTATGGTCGTGGGTATGTGTCTTGGGTTGGGTCTGGCCACACTTCAATTGCACCTCGCAAAATGCTCCCATACCATCAAGAGTCTCAAAAAACTGCGGTGCGAAGAAAGCCCTACTCGCTGTGGCAAAGGTATTTTCCCACCAATGTGAGGAGAAAACGAAAAGCCAACATCCGCGAATATAACTGGGTCGGTGAACCATGGCAGTTCACCGAAGGCAGTTGGCTAAAATCTCGGATTCCAAATATACCTCACACAAACATGCACACCCTTTGGCCAGTCAATGATATACTACTTATAGTAAAATATTCAATAAGACTCTTACATCGCGTTTGTTGTGCTTAGTAGAATCTAACCTACCTAAAATTATCGAATCATAGTACTGATTCCTCAATGGACTGGTTCTGAAAGAGCTGTCTATCTAATGGTTACCCGGAGTTGCAAACAAGGTAATTGTGACAAAAATACACTTCCTGGGGACAAGTATATGAATGAACTGACAAAAGGTCACCGGATACGCATGCCTGACGAGCGGCAAGAATCGCGAAACCGGTTATATGCTTCCAGGGAAATTTTGTCCAGTCAAACTCCATTTGTATTTGGGACATGTCCCCAAATAGATTGCCACGGCGAGCCAAGATTTTGAGGTAGGTAGCGGTTGGAAAAGGTCAAAGGTGGTCAAACTAAGACTTGGAATGATGTTATGAAAACCTTAATCGGAAGAATCGGCCACATAGGTCGCGTTAGGCTCCCTGGATAGGGACCCCGAGATCATGGTAACTGAGAGTTTGAGACACTGAGTAATATGGCTGGACGCCGCAAAACACTGGCGCTCGTGCATGTACTCATCATTCTTGCAACCCCAGTCTATATAAATCCTCTATATTCTCTTTGACTCTACCCTCAATATTCCAATCCTCCTCCTGCTGTTTTATCCAAATGGGCAGCCGAAAAATACCATCCAAAACTGGCACATGAAAAGGCACAGTTATTGGTTGTACAAACTGAAACCGTTATCTGCCATTCGGTTTAATAATATACCATGCATTTCCCCCAAGTTCTTCATTTTAAGCCACAACAGTTTTGGACAGAAATTTCGACGATCGAGTGACAGGTAAGAAAAGTGTGCACTTCAGCCATCCTACCAATTGCCAATTTAGAGAATATGCTCGACAGTAAAATCGATTTTAAAAATAGTCTGGGGATAAATTGGATTGATCCCCACTTTCACACAAATACAACTTAATGACAGGCGGTAGGATTTCAGTGAAATAACTTATCAGTTTATCTATACCAGACCACTCACCTTCCTCCGACCAATCCTGTGAGAGAACGTCAAGCAACCATTGGACAAATCCGTGATGTTGTGCGATACCCACATGGTCCGATACGGTCTTATGCGATTCATGTCGCGAAGTTCGGTCGGAGGTTTGACGCAAACAAAAACTGAGCTGATGTGTTCGGTTCCAGTAGGACAGAAAATCTGGATTTGACGAGCCAAGTTTAGTGTGTGATCCGGTTTGCTTACGACCGGAGTGAGTAGAAATGGAAAACTCACAGGAGACAAGAGGGGACTGCGAAACTCTGTTGAGCTGTTGAGCACCGGTCAGGGCTTCCAAACTGGAGGCCATCAACAATTGAACTGGTGTACGATGACGAGACAGGGAATGACACTGTGTGCCTGGAAAGGTGAGATGTCTCAGTCGAAATGAAATCAGCTAGTGTTAGCATTTAAGAGGCAAATCTCGACGATATGTCAGTCATTCATGTACTATATACATATAACGTTGATCCGGAAGACGGATAATCTAGTTAACCTACGATTTATATTCATATATTGACAGTTTTGTAAACAACGGTGTTGATTGTTGTTTTTGTAGCTCGGGTGGTATAATATGATGTTCGGTTGTTCACCGAGTTTGGCAATAGTATTGCAATACAATTGCCAAGCTCGGCGAACAACCGAACATCATATTCTTGTATTATTTATAAGACGGCGCTCACCTATTGCCATCAGTGTTAATGAAGTCTCCATTAAGTGAAGGAAAAAAGTATAAGAAAAGCGATAGATGCATAGATATAGAGCCAGATAAACTGAATTTTCTATGGGTCGCGGCATGGCAAAAACGCAAAATGGGTTACGAGACTCTTCACACCCGATTCAACGACGAAGACAAAAGTTCTGGAGGAAGCGGCTTCGGGGCAAAAGACAAAACTCAGATTTTTCAGCCCATCAATGAATAAATCAAGTTTACTTTTCGTAATATTATGTGTGTATGAGCCCATAGTAATTTACAGGCACCAGTTACTGAATATGACGTTCTTTCGGGTGCGAGTTTCACATCTTGGGTGAGCCCTTTTATCTGACATATTCGCATTTATATGTATGCTACTCATCAGTAGTCAAACGACGAGCGCCAAAAATAACCGCAATAATTGAAGTCAAAGTCCCGAGCGAGAAACCACACCTTTTTTTACAGCTGTGAGTCTCAGGCAGGCCCAGTGAACTTCAACTGTGTAGCAGGTGTGCCGTCTTCCGCTTTTATTCAAATGGGCAACCAAAAGACAGCAGCCAAAACTGGCGCACGAAAGGGCATGGTTAACTGTTGTAAAAACTGAAACTGACTGAAACTCGCATTAAAAAACGCACAAGTACAACCCGGTAACCAGACTGTCTCGTGTTGGGGTGAGAGATTTCAAGCGCCGCAGATAGCGGAATATGATCCAACCAGATCGCATTAGGGGTCAGAGGAAATTTACTTGATTAAGGTCACGGGTGAGAGGGACGGGACGATGGAAAACGATGGAGCAGTCGCACTGTGAGTCAATCAGTCATCGTAGGTTATTCCAATCCAGGTGAAGCTTGTGGCATTTACGATGAAACTAGATATTTAATCCAGTTCAATAAAAAATCGAATAGGATAAAACAATAATTCATGCAATAAATCATTCTTCCCCTGAAAGCACCAACAAGCACGGTTGAATCAACGAGAGTACTTTCGAGTAGAGCAGCACGCCAAAAGTGCATACATTTATTCGACTTGTTCATTTTCGAAGCGCAACAATGCAGCGGATCGTATATTTTGGCAAACATAAAAGGAGCTGAAAGTTTCGGTGGCTCACTTGTTGGAAAGAAGTATTGAACGAAACAGTCGCAGTCGCCCCAAGGAACAGACCCAGAGCATTCATTGTCGGCACGCAAGGCAACATGTGGGTCGAATTCATGAAGCCGTTCTATAGTGATTCCCAAGGTGTGTTCAACTAAGGGAGATTGGAGGGACGGACAGGAAGTTAGAGAAAAACGGTTGAAAATATCAGTGAAATCCAAAACGTAATATTCGTAGGAAGTCATATAACAGGAATGGTGGGGCAAAATTGATGAATGGATGGATAGAGGTAACAGAAGACACAACTGCATGATTCAATTAGGTGGGTGTATCATTAGTTTGGATAACCGTGCGCGAACTATTATTTCACAAGTAAAAGACTGAAGGTCATGATCCTGCCTACGGGCAATTGAATGCTCGCTGGGAAGAGTATCCGTACACTTGTGACAATATTCGAAATCCAATTCACGCTGAACAGTTCAACGAGCAGAAGAATAGTCAGTCCACGACAGAATGCAGGTGGGTGACTGGGTGTATAAGCCAAGAAATAGACAGTTGGGGTTTCATCGAGAAATAAATTTCGTATTTTGGGAGGTAGAAGGCGTTAACTATTGCACAGTCAGACATTTCTATGCGCTGATTCTGAACGGTGTCTCCTGACAACTAATCAGTTCAAACAATAAACAAAAGGTATTGCGTTACGACGGACCGAACAAACCGGTCAAGCCTCGCACGGATGCGCATCATAGCACGAGCGCGCTCACGATGCCCAATGCGAATCGGTTCCGGATTAGATGACTAAGGCGAATCAGGCGACTGTGGTCCGATCGACCAATTGGAGTGTCCAGGATGTGACCTGATTGGTGCGTCATCACGTCGTTCTCGTACGCCCAATTTACCCACTTATATTTGCGTATCGCATCAAAATAAAAGGATACCCTTTGACTGTTGTTCTCTAGTGGCGTTCTCTCTCCTGCATTATTGTTGGGGACTAGGCAAGAGGCGCTCGTATCGATCGTACGTCTTGAAAGAACATAAATCTACTACTACTATGAATAAGAAGAACAGCATACACATATATCCAAACGTGCACAAACAGATGGATTGATCAGCAGACGGACAAATACAAAACGTATATCCAGACAGACCGTAGATACAACGGAACAACGGAACAGAACGAGACATACTTTCTAAAGGTGAGAAGTACTCACCATACTGGTTCTGATTCTGATCTTGGCCAGATTGGTTTTCAGGCCACCGAATCAGATCTAACGCTTGCCAACCGGTGCCCTGTCCTCTACCCGAATGAGGTCCATCCTCTGGAGCCGATGAGTCAGCACCGAAATGAAGGCTCTCAATCTGCGAACTGGTACCCACAGCCAGTCGGATACGAAGTTGACCTTGTTCCGCGCCGGAGAATGGATCAATAACCGGTTGCCAAGTATCGGACACAATAACTGGACGCTTTGGAAAAAGCGGAAAACCAGAGTAGAAAAAAAGCTTCACAAACAGTTTTTGATTTACTCATCAGTGTACTTTCCCAGTCAATGTGCACTACGTGACAAACTCGGGTCAAGTAACAAGTCCATCAGGTTGGCACTGCTCGTTCAGTCAGGTCGGGTATGGCTACCAAGCAGCAGGGTTGCGTGGTACCACGCCTTAATCGCAATAAATGTTTTGGATAGTCAAACAGAACAATGCGGTTATGCAATGCAAACCTCATTAGCAGCTCGGGGAGTGGATTTGAGACGAACGAGTCTCGAAGAGTCATTGTGAGGATGATCACCGGATACGCATACATGAGGAGCGGCAAGGACCACGAAACCGGTCGTGAGCATCTGATAAATTTTGTCCAGTCATTCATATACTGCTCATTGTAAGAACAATGTGGTGCCAACCATGAGTCCGCGCACGTACGATTCGGTTAGCTGTATGGTGGAGTGGCGATCTAGCACTGCCGCAAATGGGAAAATTGATCTAATTGATCCCTTTTGCGCATTCCCAATAAAAACTCACATCGACACACGGCTGGTTTCAAGCAATCACAAACCCGATGGATCGGCATTGGTGACACACGAATCGAACGCGCATGAACGCACCGGTCAACGAGATACCTGTAAGATTGTGTAGCCCGAATTTTGATCGTCCTAGGAGGGGGGAGGCGAGTCACCAGACTATCCAAATACTCGTGTAATCAAGTTGCTAAAAGATCTGAGAGAAGAGGGACTATACCATTTCAAGTTTGATTAGAAAAAAATTGCTTTGAATGTCAAAAAAGTTTAGTAAATTAAAAGCGTAATTTGAGCACAGAACAATGCAGTTGATTGAAGTATTCAATAGGAATCGGAAGCAGATATTGTTGGATCACGGTGCTACAGCGTTTACCGCGATCATTTGCCTTGAAAACAATCCATTTACGTTAGTGCAAGAAGCGTTCCAACAGCCAGACTGCACTTTGATCAGAAAGGGGGCGCTTTTTAAAAAGGTCGACGACCGAAAGTGGGGAACTATCCAGACAAAACTTTCAAAGACCTCGGGGGAACAGAACAAGCCTCAACTGAAAACTGGATCCATGCGTCTGTGTGTGTATGCACTAGGAGTGCGAGCGAAATTGAGTGAGGGGATTATCGGCACAGTGTACAGTCACCCACGATCTTGTAGTGGGTGACCTTGATGACAATTGGCGAACTACGATCGAGTTGTGGTTGTTTCGTGCTTTCTTTTCTGACATTCCCAATCTCAGACCAACTGCTCGATCGCCCTAGTAGGTCCTTTCGTTCTGTGCAGTTACATGTCACATTCAAATATATCGTGATAACCATCCAAACTGGAAGAGCCGTGTGCTAGACTACATCTGTTGCATACGCGCCTGCGGCTTAAGTGCGTCGTTAATGTGCTCGTTCCACAGACGTTACCGATTGATATCTATTCAGATCAATTAACCCCTCACTCACTTGGCCATATCAATACTACAGGCTGACACCGGTCCGATCCTGATTGGCTGTTTGTACCATGGCTGCTTTGTTGATCATACGCTTGACACCGTTGATTGTGAATGAGTTATAATAAACCTATCCTACCTACGTACGGTCGTTCTACTTTGCTAGCGGGCTACGGGTCCGAGACTACTACACAGTTTGAAATAAAAATGTAACAAATGGCGAGGGGGATGCAACGCAGCTAAACCTAATGATTTACGATGTACTTCAGTTAGGGAAATCCCAGATTTAAAATGTCATTCAAGATTGAAGTAATCTCATTGATACAATTTTCTGAAAAAAAATATTGAAGTAAATTATGATAATTAAGAATCGTAAAATTGAAATAGTCCATTTGAGTGTTCACAGAACAGTCACTGTTGATGGTCTTGGGTGTGGAATTCACTCCATCGCTTATAAAAGCATTCAACTAGAGGGGAATTAACGATCTCCCAAGGAGTGAAACTCACATCGAAGACGATCAAATGCAGACGGATTGTTCGTCGCAGTACGAAAGTATTCCTACTGCTTTTATTCCGAAAGTGGAAGAAAACTATCTTTGACGTATTCTGCTATGCAAACAGCAGGATGAAAAACATATTGAACAACTTTTATGAAATAAATATGCATTTCCCATGATATTTGTTCTCTCCGCTGGAATTCTATCTCCGACGTAGTTAGCAAGATTGTTCAAAACAGCCAGACGGTAAAATACCAAGAAGAGTTTTGATGCTCTATTTTAGTGGATATTGTAGTTCGCAGTTAGGGCAAGTTCAAAGTTTCATTATGATTATCTGTCTAACGAACCCGCTTCGAAAAATCGTGCGTGTATCTTGGACGAGTCAAGCATTGGCCCTAAGTCATCATCGATTGAACTATCTCCAGTCCGAATTTCCCACATGGCGCATCGTTCCACAACTGATTCTCTTGTGACGATCCTCTACCAACACTTTGGCAACATCGGATTCGGAACCTATCCTCCTACGCCGACTCGAAAATCACACGACTGATCAAATTCATGTATCGATCGGTCGGATAGTGCAGCCGAAACAAGGGACCTGATGCTTGCCCAGCTAACCCGAGCGAGAAACCACACCTTGTCTACAGCCGCGAGTCTTTAGCAGGCCCAGTGAATTTTGACTGTGCAGCAGGCATGCCATCACCACAAAATGTACAAGGCAGTGTGAAACGATGGGGTAATCGCACAATCGTACTGTTGACATGGCAACATGACATCCTAGATTGATATCCGCATATCTTAAAATAAAAAAACCAGTAATGAAAACTTCAATTCGCTAACCTTTTGCAATTACACTTGTCCGAGAAACAAATCAAGATGTTCGGGCATCATTTCAACCTGTCCCCGTTGGTCCCATCAAAGCTACCAGGCCCATATACTATTCAAGCCTTCCACTGCGAATTCTGGCATTTGGCTAATTTAGCTTGACAACATGACTGCTCGAAACCAGTTCGAAATAGTCATCTGTGAATTTCACACCTAGAGTCTCAATCAACCTGGCTTACATGTTGTAGTGGAAATGTCCTAATAGAACTTTTGATGATTTCATTCACAAAGATTATCCAATTTAGAATCCATATTCCAAAAATTGCATTTTTAAAATTATTCCGATATTTGACAGCAGAAATTCTTATAAAAATGCGCAACCACCATAAAATTCATAGTATATGTTGATAGCACTATAGTTACGCAATTTTAATCGCAACCGGTTTGATCAAGATATCTCATTCCGTTTCGCATATTTGGTCGAAAGGGTAGAAATCCTGTTGACCGTTTTGTGGCGGTAACAGAGTTGGTATGTACGGTCTGCAATCCGTAAGCTAACTGGATGTGTCTGGACAATAATGACTCTTATATCGATCGAGCATGATCAGCTGGTGTCTTATCGCAGCCATTATGGGGATATGGGTCGTGCTGCCCATTGCAGAAACATGTGATGGGCATATGAAATATGGGTATATGGCTCAGACGTCGGACGCGCATGTTCCGTTGGTGTCGGTGGAACGTGCGCCCAATATGGTTTTTAAGGGGGAGTTGACACCACTCCCACCTTACACACACGGACGCGTACCCGTACTGACAAGGTAATAGGACCCAGTTGTTCTTGTGTGGTCAAGGTAGGTCGTAACTCCATCTCCCTTTGACCACTTCAACATGAGGTTGAGAAAACTGTGCCATATGGTGATCATCCAGACATCGTTAGGAGGCTTGAACAGTACATGGGCTAGGCATCTTTCATTGGGTCCATGGGACAGCTTGAAATGATGCTGAGACGATTTCAAATGATACTGGGACCTCGATTTGATACTCTGAAATCTCGAATGCCAAAAGATGGCTGAATATCGAGGGGTAGGACTAAAAAATATGTCTATCACAAAATTTCAGTTTGATTTTTCCCTGTTGTGCAATGCGATTGCACCATCGCTTCAGGTAGTCTTGTCCATCTCACCCATGACCTTACATAGCAAAATTCCACCCTGACCCTCTTCGCTCTGATCAAATAATTTTCCCCGAATTACACAACTTGCAATCCCTTAACCTGACACAGGCCGACTGTCTGATGGCAATCAACATTATCGTTGTGCAGCGTAATACAGTGAAGCGAAACTCACTGATCGCTGCCAAACTCATATACCATACAAGGTATGTGAGAATGTGTAAGGAGGATGGGGATTGTGCCGACTTTTAGGCATGGTAAAATAAAGCGAACCTCTATAGTCAACACAAAGAGTACACAGTACAACTGTGCATACATGCTATTTCAAGCATTCTGGTCTGATAAGAAGTGACAGCAAGATCGCCACTGCTGTCAATTTGGTACAATGGCCTTCAGTGTCTCCAATCATGTGGTTTCGGAGCCCAACACTGAGTCGAAGGCTCCTTTCGGATCAAGGAACACGACAACCGTTAGTCGCCGGTGTGTATGGTGTAGCTCGAGGACTTAACGCACAGTGAATATTTGATTGATAAAACCGCGACCTGGTGCAAATCCTGCTTCTGGTCGCGGATATTTTTCTCTCTAAACGGTTTCAGATGTCGAAGTATGACGGAGGCAAATGAATTGGTGTGGCATCGATTCTCATCTTCTGTTGCATATCCATTGGATTGCTGAAAATAACTGACTATCTGGACTAATTCAACGTTATTCAGATGGCTACTCAGTTCGTGAGGTGCAATCGATCGCTCATGCCATTTCCCGTTAAGAATTCGCCTTCAGTTCTCGCTAGATCGTTCAATCTGACCATGCTATGGAAACCACGATGGCATCCGACNCATCCGACCGAACCTTGTGGAACGCTAGATGCTGAGTGAAGACGGACGTCCAAAATAAAAGAATCATATCTTCGTCACCCGTACAGTGCCTTGAATCAAGATTCAAATCACCGGGCTCAGGAATGAAAGTGAGCCAGACCAGAAATAGCACGCCTCGTCCCGTCCCGTCCCGTCCCGGCCAAAACAACTCACCATGGAAGTCATCAGAGCCGTGATAATCTCATCCGAGTGCATGTTGATCCCACCGGTTCTGGCGTCCACAAACGCGAAAACAGTGACCAGTGTGTCGGTGGGAATTTTGGCCAGACCTAGCAGTGCGTCTGGCTGTCCAGTGGTCATTTTAACCCACACCTCGATCACAGCAAACGAACGGGACAGACGAGTCAACATCTCCTATAAACAGATTGGGGCAACAGAGGGTGGTGATGAGCTGAACGAAACAATGGATCGGAAAAGATGTTTCAGAAAGACAGGATGGCTGATTGTGAGTAGAATTTCCATATGGATTGGGACACGAACAAGCCAGGGTGAACGTTAACTCGAAAATGAACTACTGCATGGTGCGTTAAACAGATCTATGTTCAAAGCACGAATCGGCATCATCTTAAAATATCCGACTGGTTTTTTTATTGCCAGTGAGGTGATTTCCGAGAATGATCGTATCAAATGAACTCTGAATAACACGGTTTTGACTATGGACAAATCAATTTGGCACTTTAGAGGTTATCAGAATCCTTGGCTAAAAACAATGAAAGTAGATGATATTCAGTTGTGGGATACTGAACGATAGACCGCTGACTCTGGTGCCAGATTCACCGGATCCGTATGCCACCATATCCCCTCGGGAACTGCTA